TCAAGATTTTTATACATTTTTTTGATTCCATATTGACAGGCGGCATACAAATCGGCCGATTGTTGTTATAAATTAGCTCAAAAAGCCATGCACAATGCCCTCGGGCCATCCATCAATCATGCCCCAAGAGGAAGCAGGAGGAGAGCAGGAGGAGAGCATGAGGAGAGCAGGAGGAGAGCAGGAGGAGAGCATGAGGAGAGCAGGAGGAGAGCAGGAGGAGAGCAGGGCAGAGCCTTCATTCAGTTCAAAGACAGTTCGTTAAACTGGACTCCGAAATAAAACTGGAAAACTGGACTCTTTGGATCTGAGGAGGATATCTCTGCTCAAAGAAAGATCCTCCTGGCCCGAATCCGAACCCGAATCCGAACCTTAATTGACTTGGCTTGAACAAAATATTATCTGGCTTTGTCTATCGCAGTTTTTGTATGCTGTCAAAGCTCAATATCTGTGACTATCAATTGTTTTCGCATCTGAGTTATCTTTTTTAATTTCAAGCCACAGCTTGCTCTCTGACCCGGGTCAAAGTTGAGCCTCCCATACGAGTCTCCACTCTTGTGGCTCTGGCTCGGGCTCTGGCCATGTCGCGTGTTTCATTAGAGGCGACAAACAAACACAGTCCGCGCCTGCGTCCGCGTCCGCGTCCGAGGCTCTGCGCACAGATTTCCAGCAATGATCAGGCCAGGCAGCACATAGCATATTGTGACCTCAAAAATAACGAACGTGCGGTAAAAGCGTCGCCAACCTCTCAGAGAGGCTCTAACCTGGCCAAAAGCAACAAACACACACACACACACACACACACACACACACGGGTCTTGGTCCAGTCAGCAGCAGCAGGGGCTGCAGCATCAGAGGCAGACTCTTCCACTCCTCCTCTTGGGCTTTTTGTTTTTGCTTTTGCGACGTGCCACACCTGTTTCATGTAGTCAGGCGCTCTTCTCCAGCCAAGAACCAGCCACTGCGACTTGCACTGAGAGAAAAGATAGACAAGGGGAATCGTGAGACCGAATTTCGACGCATATCTCGGGTAATCTATGGATTCAGTGTCGGATTTCGGGTGTTTAATCCCATGCTAGGGCGACTTTTAGTGTGCTAAATATGAGACTGCGAATTGGTGACCCCGACAATGTGGGTAACCTTTAAATTTCAATCGAAATACATGAAATTTAATGAGATAAATAAAGAAAAAATCGTATCTCTACTTTCGATTGTCTCTACTTTGGTGAAAAAAAAATATTGGTGACCCCGAGATAATTTCCAAAGAATTTCCACAATTTATTTTCTGTCCGTGTAGCCATCGCCTTGTGAGAATTTCTTCGCTGTTGTTGTTTTTCGTTTTTTTTTTTTTGAGATTTTTGTAGGCAACAATTTTTGTTGGTCTCTAAAGTGACCTTAGAGCGAGGAGATCTGGCTCTGGCTTTGGCTCTGGCTCTGTGCTGGGAGCTCCTCTCTGTGCAAACGCATTTCTGATAATGATGGACTGTATTAACCGTTAGCCAAAACGCTGAAGCCGAAGACGGGGACGGGCCTGTGCCTCCACATGGCACAAGCATGTTGCAACAAGCCACGGCAATCAGTGGACATTTTCAGATATTTCCTTGGTGGGAAATTGCTTTGGAGATTTTTACTTACTCTCCAAAAAAAAAAAAAGAAAATCAAATGAAAAAAGAAAAAAACAAAAAACTTTGACAATCCGTTGAGGCTTTCACTCTCGGTCTTTAGTGTCGCGTCTGTCCCTGTCCCAGTCCCAGTCCCAGTCGCAGTCCTGTCCCTATGCCACAAGACGGACAGCCGGACAGACACAATGTTGAACTTGTCAAATGTAATCAGTTTTCCTTTCATTTAGTCTGACAATTACCGCCGCCAACGATGACGTTGACACATGGCCGCCGGCCCCGCCGGCCCCGCCGGCCCCTCCACAAGTCTCGACGCTAGAGGAATCAAAGAGACGTCGCAGACGATGTCCCCGCAGTTTTGTTGCAATTATCCAAAAAGCGCGCAACTTTTCACACGCAGACGATCATTGTCCGGACGTATGGCATTGCTCGAATGCTGGAGTCGATCGATGGCTCGGTGTCTGTCACTAATTACGGCTCATTATAGTGACCAAAGTGTAACATGTTGTCAGCTTTCGAGGACAACAGCAAACGCAACAAAACACTAAAATACCCAACTGCCGGACCAGCGACGAGTGGCAACAATTACAAGCGGCAAAACACCAGCGAGATTTGTGGCAGGATGGCTACAGAGGGTAGTCGTATACCCTAACCCGCTAGAAGGAATATTTCGAGGAAAACTCTTAGATATTAGGGCGATATTTGTGGAAAACAAAGGGGCAAAAACGTTTCGAGACGCGGCAAGGGCAGAGGCTCGACATGCACAACCGATATTCCCTCCGTAGCGCCGAAGACTGTGGCGTACGTGAAGTATTGTATCCTTCTTCTACTTAAATGTCGAGAGAAAGTCGAAGAAAATCCTTCGTTCAACCTATTTGACACCACATCCATTCCATATGAATCCATATCATTGGTTAATCCAATTTATGATATTTTCTTTCTGAATCGCTGGCTAATTGAGTTCCCACATTTGGAAAACTTTCTCATTTGTTTATGTCTCTGGCGTTTTATCGTAGAACATTCATTCTCTTCTATTTGCCATTACAAAAGTAATCACAAAGTTATCATGCCCCACAGACACACACACACCTAAGGCCCCAAGCTCCTGCGATGCGACGACTCGCGTGGCTCCTCCAAACATGCAAGCGGACTCGGAGTCGGAGAGGGAGATGGCGATGGCTTTTGAGGCACATCCAAACACCTGACAGTTGTTCGTTGGCGCTAGTCTCTGTCTGCCGTTTTGGTGTCTTGTTTGAGTGACCATTTTTGGGCACAATGACACAAAAGCAACAACAACAACGACGACAGAGGACAGAGGACAGACGCCAGGTCTGTGGAATCGAAAGTGCACAACAAAATAATTCTATAAAAATTCTATGTACGAATATGTGGAGTACGTGAAAGATCTTCGAGAGTCCACATAACAATTAAATTCTTCAAACTATGTCTCGAAAATTAGCTCCGATCGTTGGATCATTGGATCGTTGGATCGTTGGTTCCAATTGGAGTGTTTTTCAGCCGATACTCTCACTTGAAGGCACTTCAAGTCGTTGCCTACACGAATCACTTATCGAAAATCGCTCTGAACAAAAAAACCCTTGAGAGATCAGAGCGAACCCAACGATCCATTCAGAGTCGTTCAAAGTTCGTGTCAACATCATCAATTTTGATCAATATGGTATGGCTATATCTTTGCCGCTCTGCACCACTCGATAGCCCTCGCTAGTCCCCCACTGCCCCCCCCCCCCCCCCCCCCCCCCCCTCTCTGTATCTGTATGTGTCTGCCATTTAAACGACTCCTTTTGGCTTTGGGGTACGATCGTGTTTGGGTTCATCGTCATCGTCATCGTCTCGTATCGGATCGTATAGTCGACAAAAATATGGAAAATTACAATTATTAGGCATTTTGGCTTGTTTGTTTATTGGTAGGTGGTGTATTGAGGTTATCCGTACACTAAATGATACATCGATCGTTTGAATAGAGCGATCCACAGAGATCCAGAGAGCCAGCCATACAGCGATCGGGGGATCGAGAGACCGAGAGATCGGTGATCGTTCAATTGATTGCTGCCTGAGAGCGGCGCGCGGACAAGTGAAAATCTTTGGAGAAGATGAATGAAAATTGCTGCCTAAATGGTCATTGGACATGATCTTGGACATGGGATCATCCTATGATCACTTTCTTTTGGGGGGGAAAACCAGCAAACGTGAATTGCTACATGCAGTGGTGACATGTGAGCCGAGATGTGGGTCCAGGCTCTTGACCTAGCTGCATAAGCAATTATGATCTTGATCCCCTCCCCGCCACCGCCACCGCTCCAACTGGATCGAAGGTTGCCCCAAAGAGGGGGCAGGCACAGGCAGAAGTCTAGTTAAGTGACGCCCTAAGGCTGCAGCGAGAGACGACCCTGTTTTAAGTTTTATAAAAACTCATTATAATGTCTTATAAATGCACTTTTGGGATATCAAGTGGGATTTCTTCTTGATTGCCATGTGGGGCCATAGCCAGAGCTCTGCTACGATCTGCTGCGATCTGCTGCGATCTGCTGCGATCTGCTGCTCCTTTTTTTTTTTGCTCTGTGTGACTGGGATCTCGCTGGGGTCTTGGGTCTCCCATGCTCTTTCTTCAGCTCCATCGGTCCGGCTCTTCTCTGCTGCCCCTCGACTTAGACACATAGTTCGCTCAAGATCATAACATGACCTTTTGACTGGCAGTGATTTCAACGCCCACGCGTATAAAAACATTTCAGACAAATCCGAACGGAGAGGAGCCCGAGCAGGCCCAGACCTTGGGCTCTGCTTCATTTTTTTTTTGTTTCTTTTGTGTGTGTGTGTGTTTGTGTTTGTGGCTGGAAAATGGGTTATGAGAGCCATGGCTATCTGTTGGCTATCTGTTGGCCATTTCTTGACCATGGGAAATAAATTTTGTGAGGCTGAAAGGAATGAAGGACGTTCCAAGTGCCACATTTTAACACCTACGCAATGGCCAGGGGGTTAGACTTGTTGCACCCCCCCCCCAAGCCACCCCATCATGCCCCTCTTGGCGGAGGAATGCGTGCGGCTATAAATCGATAAACGGGTTGATGTGCCTTAGCCCCCCACCGCCACCTCCCCCCCCAAGCAGGAACTTCTTCCTTGTTTTTGGACGAAATGTTCTTTTAATTTACTTTGAGAATAGACAAGGCACACGCGATTGTTGCCACCCAACTGCAGCAGTAACCCACTGACAGAGCACCCCCTCCCCCCCCAAATTCAAAGGGGAAAAACGTGGCTTTGTTTGTTGCCAGGACAACGGCTGGTCGAGGGCATTCCAATGCAAAACAAACCGAACAAACCTGTGCAGCCCCAAAGGAATTTCAGTGTGCGGCCAGCAGTAGCCTTGGAGTGTTTGGAAAAGCTGACCTCTGAGCCATGAACTGAACCCAAAGACCAGCAACAACAAGCGATTGAAGAGGGGCAGGACCGGAGAGAGGGCAAGAGACATGATTACGGGTCCGGAATCGAGGCAAACACATAGGTTGTTGGACCTGAAGAAGCAGCAATGGGCCAAGGAGCGAGGTAGGGGCTTAAAGGGTCTGTGTTTGCTGTGTGTATCTATAGCCGTGTCCCTTGTCCTTTGCAGAGGAAATCGCACGCATGGATGAGATGTACCATCATCAGCACACATCGCACCACAAGATCGAACGCACCTCGATACGCACCTACTACTCGAATCTCGATCTGAGTCAGACCTCGACATCCAGCCAGTCGACGAGACAACGACGACGATTACCGCCCCAGCAGCAGCAGCAGCAGCAGCAGCAGCAGGATATGCACTTGATCCTGCGACAGGCACAGGCACTGGCACCAGCACCAGCACCAGCACCGGCACCGCCAGCGGACTACCGCGACAACGGAGGATATCTGAATCAATTGGAGCGCTATATCGAGGATCTCGATGCGGATGCCGATGCCGACTTTGAGGACGATGAGGAGTCCCTGTACAGGCGCACCAGAAGGGGCAGCTATGCCCCTGGGATGGCCAGCATGCGGCAGATGCAGATGGCACCGGCCCGGTATGTGGAAATGATGCCGCCCACGTCCCTGCAGACGGCCAAGGGAAGGATGCAACATGCCCAGCCGCAGCAGCAGCAGCAGCAGCAGCAGGGATACCATTTGCAACAGCAGGGGTATCTGCCACAGCAGCAACAGCAACAGCAACGTCTGAGGAGTCCCAGTTTGCCTTCGATTCGATGGCAGAGGGGGGTGAGGCATCAGGAAAAGGCGGCCAATCAACCTGGTAACGGGAACAACAACAACAACAACAACAACAACAACATTCCGTTGCCGAATGGCAAACCAAATGACATTGATCCTGGCAACGGGCCAGGCCATGCCCATCGATCCAACAATCAAAACAATAATCCTGGTGCTGCTCCAGGCATCGGTTGCCAGGAAGAGGACACCTCCGGGTATCTGAGCGACAACACGCCCCCCAAGAACAGCAACAACAGCAACAACAGCAACAACAACACCCACACGCCCGACATTTGGTTCAACGACGGTGCCAGCCAGATTGAGAGCATTAGTGGTGTGGGCAGTGCCAGTGTCGTCGAGGAGAGGGAGGCGGGTGTGGGTCGTCGTCTCCGCCGATCGATACAGGGTGGGGCTGGGGCGAACCCACTGGTGCCCCTCGGTGGGGGCAAGGGGAATGCATATGCCACCAAGGGACGACGTGTGGCAGGACAGGGCTACGAGCCGCTGGCGAACGATGGCTACCTGGCCGACGGGTGAGTAAACGAGTCCTTGGGGCACTGATGTGCGATATACATACATTTCTCTGCCTTCCAACAGCTGCTGCTACATGGCCGCACCGCCGAGCTCCTCCAACATGAGCATCAGCCGGGATGTGTCCACCTCGAATACCTACCAAGTGCAGATCCAGGGCGGCGGCGGCCACGGCCTCGGCCGTGGGGGCAGCGGCAGCGACTACTACATCCACGAGCAGCACGAGCAGCACGAGAGAGAGCGAGAGCGGGCCCGCTGGGCCAATCAGCAGCAGACGATGCAGATGCCACCGCCGCCTGGCTGGCTAAATCGTGGCATACACGATCTTAAGGATGGCAGCGAGGACGACGTCCAGTCTATGCAGTCATCCTCCACGTATTTGAGGGGACAGAACGCCCCCCTGGACGCCCAGACGCTCGCCGAGCGCATGGACAAGCGACGGAAGGCCTCGGAGTACCACAATGCCATCAAGAAGCAGCTCCACGAGCGGGAAATGATCAGGAAATGGGAGCTGGAGCGCCATCGCCAGGAGGAGCAGATCGAGGAGCAGCGCCTGCGTCGCCAGAAGCAAATGGACCAGGAGCGGGCGGAGTACGAGCGGCGGCAGCAGCTGGAGCGGGAGGAGGCGCAGCAGAAGAAGCAGCAGGCGATGCTGGACGCCATCGCCAAGGCCGAGGTGGCGGCCCAAATGGAGAAGCAACAGAAGCGCAAGAAGCCGCAGCCACAGCCACAGCCACAAAAGGTGCCCAAGGATGGACCGCAGGAAGGCGAACTGCTGCGAGTGCAGTCCGTGGAGGAGGAAGAGGAGGAAGAGGAGGAGGCCACCCATACACCACGTGGGGCACCGCCAGCGGCAGCACCCGCCCCCGCCCCCGTCATTGCGGAGGAAAAAGTGCTTATTGGAACGCCCATCAATCTGCGACGGACCGTCACGAAACCCATCAAACAGCCGAAGGGCGAGGAGGCCAAGGAGGCCAGGGAGGCCAGGGAGGTTAAGGATAATCTGGCACTCCTGATGCAGCCGGCCACCCTCATTCCCCTGCCCGTCACCAGCGACATTTTTGGGCTGCAGAATGCCATTGGGAATCTGCAGATAGCCACGTATTTGATGCAGCCTCCCCAACAGATGCCGCAGATGCCGCAGATGCACATGCAAATGTCACCATCGGCAGCCTCCTCCTCCGCCGTGGAGCAGACCTATTCGAAGGCCACAATGACCCAAAGGACAGACACCTCCATCTACACGGAGGATGGCTATCAGGCGGAGAAGGAGGAGGAAGAGGGCGAGGGCGAGGGCGAGGGCGAGGGCGAGGGAGATCCCGAGGAGGAGGAGACACTCACAACAGCCCGATCGGGTCTGGTCAGTGGCGGGTGCTTCTCCCCCGATTCCCTGGAGGTGGATGTGGCACACAGCGACAAGCTGGCACTCATTCCACTCCCCCAGCGACTGGCAGGAGGAGCAGGAGGGGAAGGATCTGCTGCAGCTGCAGCTGGAAGCAGTGATGTGGAGACCCAAACGGAGCTCCCGTTGAACTGCGATCTGTGTCTGTTCCACGACAACTTCTACAAGGTGCTGCTCAAGCGAGAGGTGTCCACCACGACCACCACACAGACCTCGAAGACGCAGACACAGTCGCCCAAGGAATCCTCCGCGTCGGCGTCGGCCGAGGCGGAAAAGGATCACGAGACGACAACCACAACAACGACCACCACCACGACCACCTTCAAGGCCAAGAGCAAGGACAAGGACAAGGAGAAGTGCCTCAAGAAGAGCCACAACAGCAAGGACAGGGACAAGATGGACGATCGCCCCAAGTGGGGTGTGAATCGTCCCATCGTCCAGTACGTGAAGGCCAGCGATCGGGATCCCTTTTGCCTGCGCAAAAAGAAGAATCATCCGGCCACGGCCACGGCCACAGCAGCGAGCAAGCCACCGCGCTCCCTGTCGATGGACTCGCGGCTGGACAGCGTGGCTGTGGATCATCTCATCCTCGAAGGGGACTCCCCGCTGGCCCCCGCCACAATGGAGCAGGAGGAGGGCGACGAAGAGGGCTTCCTGCTGAAGGCCCGCAACGTCTGCACGGAGATACTGCCCATCAAAACGGACGAGAAGGGCCGCATTTTCCTCAACTTTCGCGAGGCCAGCGCCATCATGAACGAGGACGAGATCAAGGATAAGCTGAGGCAAAAGTACTTCAATTTCGGAAGGATTCTGCCGCGTCGCAGCTGGGCCTCGGCCACACACAACGGCCTGCCTTTTAGTGCAGCGGCAGTGGTGGTCGGTGGGGGAGGGTCAGGGGCAGGGGCAGGGGCAGGGGCACCACCACTCCCAGCCCTCCCTGCCACCATTGTCGGGGACATGGCAGACGATTGAAGAAAAACCCCATGACTTAATGCGGGTATTCCAGCCAGGATCTGCTAAGGGACTGCTCTGGAGGCTACCAGTTTCTTTTTTTTTTTTATACCAAAATAGACACCAAAATGTAAGCCTCCAGATGGTAAAACCCCCAACAAAAAAGAAACAAAAAACACATAAAATATATATCGTATAAATTTGTATCGCCTGCACCTAGAAAAAATAATGTTTGAAATATTTAAACGTATTGTGGGGCCTACAGGACTCTTTCGAGTGGGGAATGGGTAGGGGGATGGGGATGGGTAGGCAGTGCCAAATTCCAAAGCTCCAGATTGTACTTTGTATTCAATATATATATTTTTTCCCCCTTTTTTTCGTTATATATAAAAAAAAAATGTTTTTTTAATTTTTCTTTTTTTTTATTAATATCTTATATTTTTTTCACTTTTGGATATTTTGTTTCTTCTTGTTAACGTTTTTATTTTTAAACATTTTTTTTTAAAATTTTTTTTAATTTTTGTTAACTTCTTGGATGTTTTGTTTCTTTTTTTTTAATTTTTGTATTAAAATTTTATATATTTTTTTTAAATTTTTAAAATTTTTTTAACCTCTTGGATTTTTTGTTTCTTTTTTTTCTTAATTTTTGTATTAATATTTTATATTTTTGTTTACTTTTTGGATTTTTTTTTTTCCTATTGTTACTTTTTTAAAAATTTTTTTTTATTAATATTTTATATTTTTTACTCTTTGCATTTTTTGTTTCTTATTGTTAACATTTTTTTCTTTCTTAGTTTTAAAATTTATTTCTCCTTCTTTTTTTAAATTTTTTTCTTGAGTTTTTGTTTTGTAGAAAAGGAATCCCCAGCCTTGAACTTATAATTTTTTTTTACATACTGTTTTTCATATTGCTATTTTTTTATTATTATTTTTAGTTAATTTTTTTTTCTTAATTTTTCCTTTTCTCCGATTTTTTCTTTTCTTTTTTTCTTGTGTGTTTTTTCTTTGGCTAGGAATCTCCATCCTTTCACTGAATTTTTCGCTTATCTAGAGCCTTGAACTTGGATGCCTGGAGGTCTATTAGCAACAATGTTGCCTGATTGTTGGAGGCAATCCCTCTCTGAAAGCAACAAATCACACGAAACTGTTGCGCACACATTGTTCACGGTTAGGCTGCTGCTGATCGGAGTTGAGCCTGGGTCTCCTGTCTCCACCGATCTCCTTTGGGAGTCCGAACCTCTCCGTTTTCTGTGGCTTCGGTTCGTGTTACACTTTCACACAACTCAAAATGTCGTATTTCACGCATTTTTACGATCGTTCGCGTAAATTTATGCGAAAAATCATAAATAACCAAGAAACATAAGCCTCGGCCCCAGCCCCCAGCCCCCCCCCCCCCTTTTGCTACCTCGCTTCCCTGCAATGCGACGGGGGACTACTCGTTCCAGAAGGGGCGTGGCATTCGGTTTTGTTCGAATGTGGGCGCTGCATATATTTCTGTTAATTAACGCATTTTCTGCACTGCGTTTCATAATCTATGAGATACAATATCCGTTTGCTGTTCTTGCGCTCTCGTGTGTGTTTTCTGCTCTGTTCTGTTCTTCTGTGGACAACAATGGCAGTGGAACAGGCAGCCCCCCATTTGAGGAATTAATTGCATGATTCTTATGCAAGTTCTCTAGCCCCCAACACCGCCAAAAAAAAAATCAACGAAATAACGAAGCCAAGGAGAGCTCAACTCCGAGTCCGCCGACAACAAGTTCAATGCCTTTTGGATTATAATTCTGACCTTAAGTTCAGTTCTTGACTTGCCGAATGGGCGGGGAAAGGGGGATTGATTGGGCAGGGCAGCCTACCCACTTTTGGTGGAGAAAATCACAAAAATTGAACAGGAACTCCATCTGTATCACTCGTTCCATCGCCATCTATTTTGTGTAGGGCTTATGATAGTTTTGGTCTCCAAGATCTATTGAAAGCCCAGCTACAGGTCTAAAGATATTTGATTTTATCTACGAGAACCATCTTTTCACAGATATATATATTAATTAACCATCTATTCTACGTTTCTGTTTGTTTTTCAGACTCGAAATGCCCAAAGAAGATATAGGCTTGAGTAGGTATCAAATACCGTCCAACTCCCCAAGGATTCCACGAGGGTAAGTCTTAGATATCGAGCCTGTTAATGGCAGGGTATCTGGACTTCGTTCTGGTTAACAAAAAAACCCCCCTCTAAGGGCAAACAAAGGCTGCACCAGCGACCAAATCCAAATGGCCTTCAAAAAGTTCTCATTCGTGTTCTAGTTTCACACCAAAAACTTGACAAAGAATGGCATGTTGCATGTCGCGTGGGGCATGTGGCATGTGGCATGGGGGGCAGCACCAGCAGGGGGCACTGCAAAATGCCATTTCCAATGTCACGTGAGTGAGTTTTTCCAGCCCCCGAGGGCGGCAATTGTTGTTTTGGAGTTTCTTTTTTCTTTTTTTTTTTTTGTAGGGCTGCCGCTGTCACCTTGAACTGAACGTATGCCAAAAAGCGACATCTGGACAACTGATTAATGACGTTTCATTAGAAAAGGGAAACCGTAAGATCGGTTATATGTATAGCTAACCCGTTAATGGGGAGACGGAGAGACGGAGAGAGAGAGAGAGACCCTCTTGAGAGCCGAGGGCGAGAGAGCGGGCACAAATAATTAATGACAATCGATGGAACAACTGATTTCAAGTAAAGATTCAAATCGAACCGTTAATTTGGAACACTTTTAAGGATGATTAATGACCGACATAGAACGGTGCCAGTGTTCCCTTGAAGAAGATCAACATTTTGCAACTGTTTTCTAATTGTTTATACTCTACCGAAACAGACCGACAGACAGACAGACAGACAGACAGACAGACAGTTTGCTTTGACAGTTTTTCTGCTGCTACTCAGGATTGTCTTTTTTGCAGTAGTCCGTCTTTCATTTGTCATTTCTGCGGTCACTTGAGGATCATTTGAGACCAAAAGACAGCTGCAGAATGCAAACTGCAACTGCAACTGCAACTGTTTTTTCTTTTTTTTCCTTTTGTTTTAATATTCAGACAGCAGTTTCAGACAGACACTCTTTCAGGGTTTCGTCATTACTTTTTGATGGACTGGGCATCGAACTGAAAAGTAGTTCCCTCCAAAACGGAAATCACATAAGCCACAAAAAACATAAACCATAAAACATTGGGTTTGATTTTTCCATGCACTGAATCAATGGAATGGCCATAAATTTAAGTACTACATATTCCCCATTCCCCATTCCCCATTCCCTATTCCAATGCCCATGGATATTTTTCTATTGGTTTATGGATAATTTATGAATGTCTCTCGCGTTCGAAATGTGAGCTGAATATTTAAAGGCCCTTAGAGTGCCCTTACAAATTTTCTTTTAATTTTCCATTGCGTTTAGTCTCTGTCTCTCTTTCACAGCGTGGCTGAGCAGCATATATTTTCGTACACAGAGTGGCTTGGCAATCAAAATACTGTTTCACAGAGTGGCTTAGCAGTCAATATTCACAGAGTGGCTTAGCAGTCAATATTCACAGAGTGGCTTAGCAGTACAGATTCTCTCACACAGAGTGGCTTAGCAGTCAGTCTTCTCTTTCACAGAGTGCCGTAGCAGTCAGTCTTCTCTTTCACAAAGTGACTTAGCAGTCAGTCTTCTCTTTTACAGAGTGACTTAGCAGTCAGTCTTCTCTTTCACAGAGTGACTTAGCAGTCAGTCTTCTCTTTAACAGAGTGGCCTAGCAATAAATATTCTCTTTCAGAGAGTGGCTTAGAAGTCAATATTCACAGAGTGTCTGAGCAGTACAGTTTCTTTTGCACAGAGTGGCTTAGCAGTCAATATTCTCCTACGCAGAGTGGCCTAGCAGAAACTATTCTCTTTCCCAGCGTAGCTTAGCAGTGAATACATTCTCTTTCCCAGCGTAGCTTAGCACAAAATATTCCGCAGGCCACCCTGATTGAAATCGAACAAATTTGATCATTTCTGAATCAGCGAATCTTTCGACGACCAAACGCTAGACATTCCTCTGGCTCTTCCATCTGTCTGGCAGCTGGACTGTCTCTCTCTCTCCTTCTCTCTCTCTCTCTTTCTCTGCTTTTTCTATGTCATGGGCCACACTTGATTAATTCCATAAAAGGATTACGCCGGAGAGTCGCCAGATGATGGCTTCCCCCCAATAGACGAGAACGGGGACTGGGACGTGGAATCTAGTTGCCGATGAAGTCATCAGCGTGTCCGAATATCCTGAGCAGGAAACTGACATTTATCACACTTTTACCTTTACCTTTTTTTTGTCGTCGTCGTCGTCGTCGTCGTTTGTTTTTTTATTTGCGCACACGTTCCTCACTTCCTTTCTGATGCCCGATGCCCGATGCCTGATGGCTTTATTCCGCTGCTAGGACAATATCCTGTTCCCGTTTCAATTGCCTTTGTCCTCGCGCTGGAGGGAGTTTTGTCTGCCATTCGCCCTGGGACGGGGAGCATCATTATCATAATTAATGTGACTTAATCAAGAATAATGTACGCTCGAGAAACAAAAAACGGAAGTTCCAGTTTCGACTCAATCAAGTTATGGCGAAGAACCCTTTCGGGAATTGCCTTTATTCTGGAGTAATGCGGTCAACCGCAGCAGTTAAGAGCGGGCTCTAGGGCCCTAGGGCGAGGGGTTGAAGGTCACTCGAAGGAAAGGCCTCCGCCTTGAGCCTATTTTGCATATTAAGCAATAAAATAGAAATTTTCTTCATCAAAAGATTTATGTAGCATGCAAAAAGCCATTAAATGAAGGCATTTCAAGTAGGAAGTTGATGGGAATTGGTACCATATGGGTGCACCCATATTCCAGTTGATATCTCAACCAGGATACGAGTAGTCCTGCTCCTGCTCCTGCTGCTCATTATGCGTACATTGTTGTGGCTCATACTCGCTCCCTGGGAGGCGACATTCGCATGAAACCAACGACAGAGGATCCGATACGATCCGCTACGATCCTTATCG